TTCTGCCCAAGTCCAGCCTTTTACTGTTTTACAATCCCGGCATACTGCTAAATAATTGCTTTTGACTCATTTAAGATCTTCCGACATATTTAGTTTAAAGTTGGTTAATATATGATCGGGCTTGTTACACTGAATACGGGAATCAATTTCTCTGATTTTCTATCAACATTCCGATGTTCCAGTGATCCGGAGTGGGAAAATTCCATAATTATCACGTCCAACTTCGGAAAGACCGGCAACCGTCAAAGTTTTTGCAGAGTCACCTTCGGTAAGGACTAAAGTACAGTCCTTAGCATTTCTACCACCAGACTAATTTGCATCTTCCAGTTTCGCGATCCCAGAGATCCTGTTAAAAAATATATCGAAATCACTTTTCCCCTCCCACCGACAATTTAATTACTTTTTACTCTTTTTCGTTTATCATTAACTTCATCCAGAATGTGATCAACGATACCACATTTTGAGAACTAATAAATAGGAGGGTCACACATTAAAAAAATATTTTTTTTACAAGCATAAAACAAAGTAATTTGATATTCTATAAATAGTACAATTACTTACGTTTATTAAAGAAAGAGTCACTTCGATCACATGTAGATCCCAAATGATGTGCTTTTAATGTAAGATTTTCTTTCGTCTGAGAATCGAAGGATGGGATTTCAATCAAACAGTTGATGAGTATCCACATATGATTTTTGATTTGATTCTTTTTTATGTTTGCGTACTTCTTGATTTTGGTCGATGTCAAGATTCTTTCAGCAAGTTGTAATACATATTTTGTTATCGAAGCTTGTCTATTATTTTTGAATGAAAAGTACATGAATAATGTTAATAACCATTTCATGCAAGATCAAGTATTAAAAAAGAAGAAAAAAACTTGCATGATGGAATTGAGAATAAGTAAAGGGATGGACCAATTTCCCATCGTTCATCACATTTATCATATATTAATAATGATTTTAAGTCTTTGCATACAATTGCATGTATTCTTTAAAATTATTGATATTTATCTGTTCATTATTCAAGAACACTTTAACTTTCTCATCAAACCCCGCCAAGTCGTATACACGCTTTTTAAGAAGGCTATTATGTCATTATCAAACCGACCCATTTTGAACTTTTGAAATCCGGCTTAAATTTAACCAGAGTGTAATCGCTTTAGAATGAGCGGTGATAATTGGTTGTTCGATTTCTTTCATGTTGTTCCTGAAAGTAAGGATATTTCTTGCGATTTAAAGATGATTCCAAAATGAACTCAGTACTGAATATGTTCGCTATTTTAGCACCGAAACCATTACGACCAAAATTTTTAATTTAAAATATTTTCTAAAATTGAATTAGAATAATCGTATGATAGTTAGGAGCTGGATATATATGATTGGGGATTAGAAGAGTGGAATAGGTATTTCAATTGTTGTGATGGTAGTTGTGGTATGACGTTGGTAGTGATATTACTGATGGTGGTGGGTGTTCCAATGGTATTCCAATATTCCGGAATCCAGTTCCGGTGAAATTTTCACTGGAAACCGGAATTTCCCATCACTGTCTCGAAGTGAAGGTATCGCAATGCTAAATAGCAAATAGCAATTGATCAATTATTATTAATTAGAATTAAAACTCAATAAATTTCAAGACAAATGAAAAAAAAAGTTCTACCAGGTGATAAATTAATCGTTTTCAGCTATCTAAATAGCCATTCTCCATATCTTCGCTGACTGGAACACGTAATTAGAATTACGTGGAAGAAC